ATAATAATAATAATAATAATAATAATAATAATAATAATAATAATAATAATAATAATAATAAATTAACTACTTTGGGAAAGATCCCGGCGGTAGCTCTCCATAAGTACATCAAGTAATACATTTAAAGTTCATGCAAGTTATACGTCAAATTAAGTACATAAAAAATCAATTTTTTTTTACAAATTATGACTAATACTAAATGAATGCAAGATTTGAATGCTCTAGTGTAATATATGTACAATTATTAGTATTTTTAAATTATGTTTTTTAATTTATTTTTGAATTTTCTTACTCTCTGACGTAAACTCTCTAGCAGTACTCCTGGTAATTCGTTCCAGCTTTTTATTGTCCGGTTAAGTAAAGAAAATTTTCCAATGTCTGTTCTTGCCTTCCCCCCACAATTTTGTAATTGCGGTCCTGATGTCTATTGTATGATTAATAGATATAATAAGAGGAGATTCGATTATGATGGTTCGATCTGTTTTACAATTTCGGCCACAAAGAATAGAATCGGGATAGAACACGTATACGCAATTGCCCACAATGGTGCAAAAAGTTCATATGAGGCCCCTATCTGATATTACTAATCATGAAATTAAGCGTTTTAAATATAACTGGGATCATAATATGACTGGCGCAATGGCATGCAATTTGTTTTATTCTTTGCTGATCTGTCAGTCGGGGTCTTGTTTCGGACCCCTAATTTCGGAGTTCAGAATTGTACTAGTGCACTGGTTAAATCAGCCAAGCTTCGCCACTGCTTACATGACGTGAGTTAAGGTCCATTCACAATGCAAACATAGACATAAGCACAACACATAGACATAAACACTAACATAAGTGATAGACTGAAGTGTTCCCAGTATCTGACATACACGCAAGCAAAATAAAGAGTTTCTATTGTCTGTGAGTCATTCTAGTTTACAAATGATTGAATGTGAGAATTGATTTCGAGGTATGGACTGTGTTCAAGGCCCATTTGGCGTTGGTCTATCGACTTTACCCCTATTTCGATTCTCGATTTTGCGTTAATGTCCTGTGATTGGTTCATTTGTAATGTCTTACTTAAGGATAAGCACAGAAACTTGAAGCTCGCTAGCTTTAAGCTAACGGCGAGCGTATTTTGCTTATGCAAACGCATGGTGAAAGCGTCCGCTTATGGACGTAGTCCTAACTTTTATGTTAACATCATGCTTATGCTTTTATCAGCATTGTGAATGGGCTTTTAAAGCCGAACTGCGAGTAGGTGAAAAAACTTTCCAGCGCAGTTATTGTCAAAAGGGTCAACTACGAAGTTCGATACACCTGATTTCACACAATGATAAATTATCTCGATTTTATTTTGTGATTCTAATATTTTTATTATCATCATTTGCAATCCGATTACCAGTTGCTTCGTGGGCAACGTCCTGATCTTAAATACTGACATATCTGATCATTTACTGTAATTCGTTGTCCTTCCCTTTTATCCATGATAATCTCTTCACTGAAAATCTTCTGAATTTATTGAATAACGAAGATTTATTCATCGTAGAAGAATGAAAATACCTTTATATTTATGAAATTGTACGACACACATTCACAAGATCGTGATGACGTAAGTTTTCATTAGCGTTGAAAATATATAATCTTTTTTAAAAGTTCAAGAAGTTATGGAGGAAATATATAAAATTACATTCGTTTATATCCTTGAACTTATTTTTACATTCTTGGTTTTGAAAAATAATATTTAACGAAATTACATTATGAATTTAAAAGTGAAGTTTAGCCAACAATATTTTTTTTAATATTCCTTAACTTCGGAAGCTAAAAAGCACTGAAACATTTCTAGAGATTAATTTAGTATCTAAAACTTTTCATCCTAATGAAGTAATTACACAAATAATCTGTTGCATAATATTGTCGAAGTCAACAAAACATTGCGACGCATTTCATCTCATTACTGACACGGTGTCCTCATTGACTTAATTGCCGGCTTCCGGGGTAGACAAAAAAGACGAGTCAAGAAAGTTGGCGTGTCCTGAAAACAGCACATATATAATTTCTTGCAGCAGCGTTCATTTGGTGCAGCACAAGGCGATAAAAAACGTCTGCACTGACCGCGGCGCCGTCGGCAGTTTGCGACCGGATCTCCCATTGGACCCCCGCAGATGATGGCCCAGGAAGGGAGTTGCTGGAAACCGGTCGCAGACGAGGAAATTTTGTCAGCAACGGGATCGCATTCTCGATTTACGAAAGCTGCTCGATTTGTCGGTAAACTCGAATCAATCGGGTCAGTGGGTCTTGGTATTGAGAAAGATTTGATCTGCATTTTAGAGCGCTTCAAGTGCATCGTTGTGTCTTGAAAGTGTACACAACACGAGCAATTTCGCGAACAATAGAACTGTATTCACTTAAATCTTGAAGATAATGAATGTGGGCTGGTGAGAAACTGAAGAGTGTCTGGTTTTCACGTGAAGAGTGAACTGGATTTTGATGTTTATGTTACCTGTCGGATCCGGAACTCACGAAATTGACGCTACGAAAACAGATGCATTCTGTTCTGAAAGTATCTCTCGGCAATATTATTCATTACCAAGTAAAAGGTTTAAAAAATATGACTGCGATACCTGCATCGTTCATATTAAATTCACACGTAACGTCACTGCATTCATTTGCAAGTAAGAAGCAAAAGATATTGAACAACGTGAATTTTAATTCAATGATTTGAAATAAGAAGTATTCTTTCCTAAAATAATCAAACAACGTTAATATAAAAACGTTGTAACACTGTAATCGTAAATCAAATGATTGACGTCAGTAAGTTCGCGATCTATGTTTGAAATTACAGGTTTCCAAATATTTCTGAATGTTCTATTCGTATGTCTCGCAAATTCGTTTCATCCCTGATTCAGATGACAATGGACTATAAAGTATGCAACAACTGCGGAAAATGCAATATTAAATCTTTGATTATCGGTCACTTTTCTCAAACTACGCTCTGGCCTATCCAATTGCTGCAAAAACCAGTTTAGTGGCTCTTTTTCTTTTAGGCTATCGCTGTGGATGATCGAATGCAGACTTATTCTAATCTCTCCCGGAGGTCTCACTTGAATATTTAACGGTCCACAGACAACTTCGCGGTTTATTTCATGCTTGTGGATCAATGCCGCAAAACTAGGTTGGCGACCAACATTCCAACCACACCCGTTCCCCCTCCCCAGCCCCTCATGGGTCACCAGCATGTGTGGTCATCGGTGGAGATACACGTTAACAGTTCAGCGAAAGAGTGCCCGTGATTATGATCTACTGAGATGCAAAGTGAACAAAAGGTAATTTACTCGTTATCTTTTTCTTATTTCCTTTATCCACATGCAGTTTCAATCGATACTCCAGCAAAAACGAATTATCACTTTTGAATTTTTTCACGACTTAATATTAATTACGTTTTCTCCTTAAGCATTAATATTGACGTCTTAAAAACAATATAAATATAAATTACTTCAAAGAAAACGTTGCATACAAAACACGTATGATTCAGTCACACTTATCCAGCATCCGAATATCAGCAAATTATTTCATTAGTTTTACAGCGGAAATTTGAAAAACAATTAGAAAAAATCTTACCAGAAGAAAGGATAACATTATGGAATAAAAAATTTAAGGTGTTTTACAAACAAATTAAGAAATATTTCTCGTTATACTGCTGATCTTTCCAATGACAACTAGCCCGATAGATATCAAGTGCCTCTTAACATAACGTAACATGACATTACATTTCCTTCAAAGCTAAGAAACGTTCGGTGGCGTATGAAGAACTACACCAGTCGCAGGTTCAAAGAAACTTCGACCACTCCTGCGTTCGTAGCAGCGGAAGATCTGTAATAGGAAACTAGCTTCTGTAATTCGAGGTAAGCCGGGATCACGTCTCCAAGGAGCGGAGCAAGAAGAGGAATCAGCCTGGTTCCGGCAATGGGTGGGTCGAAGCAGTGCGAAGCCGCCTGGGGGCGGGGCAGGGGGGCGGGGACCTCGTGGGGGAAGTGGGCTTCTGAACCGAAAAGGAATGCTGGCCTTCCGCGACCCACTCTGGCTGACCGACTGCCTTCGGCTGGCCTGGACTCGAACCCGCTTCCCGCTTCCGATTTCATTCATTTTATTTTGATAGTCGTTCAAGTCACTTCGGAGATAATGACAGTTTATGATTTTTATCAGGATTTCATGTGGATAGAAGTATTAAAGTACTTATCAGTACCTCGTTTGGCACTAATGCATTATTCGATGTATTACTTCTAGAGACAATTTTATAATGAAATAGATTTAAATTAGTTAATCACTAGATACTTTTGTTATTTGAAATATTGTAGTTTAAACGTTCTTCTAAGTATTGTAAATTAACAAATTACTTAAAAAATGAACATGGGTTGTATAACGAAAAAAGATCTTCAGTTCTTTCACGATATTAAGAGTCAAACAATTAAGTAGGCTTACTTTACTACAATATAAGAGTTTTGAACATATTTACATTGAACGTCTTTATGAGCTCGTACAATACTGATGCGTTCTCGAAAAATGAAGTTTTGAGATAAACGTTTAGTATAAATCTATTCCTCGATACAGGTATCTCATGACGGATTATAGAGTAATCACTTTTTAAACGTTTCAGAGAACCAAAAATTGTTACAAAGTATTATAAAATAACGGTAACGAGATAGAATTTGTATTTTTCGAGTTAAGCTAGAGTTCTAGTACTGAACAAAAACAATGATTGAAATTGTGTTCAAACGGAGAAATGAAGAGTTGATTTGTTGCCCACGAAGTATAGAAATAATCTGTAATGGAAACAATGTGGTGTTTGCTAAGAGTTTCGAGCGGTCGTACCTTTTTGAGCCACAAGATGGCGCCAAGCAGGAAGGCGATCTTGCTGAGGATGAGGGCCTTGCCAACCAGCAGCGCCAGGGCCTTAAACGCCACGCCGCCGATCAGGCCTAGTTTCATGACGCCAGCAGCCAAGAGAGGGCCCATGTTGTTGTTCTTCTTGCGAGCTGCAAGCATAAAGGGGCTCATTTAGATTGGAATCGCCATGGAACCCACGAAGGAGAAGAGATGGTGTGGTTTGAGAACTGAAAATGTCAGTTCATAAAACATTCGCCGTCGTTTTGCGGTTGAACTGCCATTATAAGGTAAGAAATTTTGGATTATTAACCCAAAACTCTATTCTTTCATTTCTTGCGCTTTTACTTACCTCTTAGAAAACTCATATTGTCGTGACTTGTGATTGTTTCTTGAATGTATCAGATAGGCACGACTTATTTGACTCATATTTCTCCCTATTTTAGAAGAACATTTAGTTGGCTATTGTGCACTTAATTGTTGACCATGCGTTTGATCGTTCTGTAAGTATTCTAAAATGTAACGTAAAAATGTCGTTGCATGCATAGATACTTTTTCATGCTACACTCGTTGCATGCAGATCGCATCGTTTACAAATGCCTACGATCGAGTACAAAGAAAATTGCGCTTGATAAATTGGACGATAACCGTTCACATAATAGGGTTCATTCCACCCATTCCATGAATTCAATAATGAATAACGATTATTAAACCTAATAACTTTGGTTTAGATCAAGAATATTCCAGAAATAAATAGAAGCTCCATGCATATCTTTGTCATAGTCTAAGTAACAATTTACATATGTTCGCAGCTCGGCAAGATATAACAAAAGTTTCGATGTATCCAACAAAAATGTTTTAAAGATATTGAAGGTTACGTAAAGTGTGCGAAAATATCTGTTTATTAATATATTTATTTAAAAACCTCTGAAACTCAGTATTTTGTGTGGTCTACTAATTAGGAACAATCCCCATGCATATCTGTGCCAGAGTCAGTCATTGTTTACAATGTTTTCGAGCTCGCCAAGGGATATCAAAAACATCAACGCATTCAGTAGGCATGTTAGACAATTATTTAAAGGACACTCAATGTGCGAAAAAGAAGCTATTTATTTCTTTAAAAGCCTCTGCGAGTCAAAATACTATGTGGCCTAGTTGCTACCATGACATGACGGAGGTAAAACGCGCCCATCAAAATCCATCCACCTGCAACGAGCCTGAATACGACATCCGTGGTTTATGTATCCTCAACCGCATGAGTCTGAAGTGTAAAAGGGGAATAGAATCGGTCTCCGCCATGCAATACCAAGGGTACAAGAGGATTCATTTGCATTCCTAGCAATCCGTGCCGAGAAGAGACCTTCATGCTGATCACTCCATCATGGCTGACCCCACACCGTCGCGTTCCGAGAGGTGGCCTCGAGGTACTCACAGGGCTTCCCGCCGAAAGGTTTCTTACGAGCACTGACGGGCGAGTTCGCCGTAGCTGTCCCTCTGGCTTCTGCAATGACACACGAAACGATACTGCAGACCCTTTTCTCTTCCAACTGCAAGACATTTCGATATTACTTTGTTCATGAATACACATCATTTTTCAATTAATTTTGTTCAACTTCCGTGTCACAATATGTCTCTATCTTATTGGAGTAGAAAAGAATTGAAAAAACAGGTTTTTTTAACTTTTAGATTGCTAATGACAGTTTTGTGAGAATTATGCACAGGGATTTACAAGGTTGATTCCCGTATGTAGAAGAGTGAAGAAGAACCGATCAGTCGGTAAGATCCCTAGTGTCATGAGCCCTCAATCTATCTACTGCGCTGTGAAAGAAGAATGTCAGTGAGACAAAATAATTGTGCAAGTGAATTAAATAGTTCGATGTTAAGTATTCAATTTCTGTTAATCCATCTCTGCTAATTACTTTATTTAAATATTCAAAATTTCAACGATTACGATTTGTACTCTAGATATAATGTATTTTGTTAACTATCTACATAAAATCATGACAATTTTAGGCACGTCCAAGTCGCCTGCATAAATGTAGCTCGACAGACTTCAGTTGTCGGAAATATATGAATAAATTTATATTCAAGGTATATTTTAACCTGAGTGAGTGTGCAGATGGCGGTATATAGTTTCTAACCCAAAGGAATGATGTAGTGATTCCACCTTGAGCTTTTATTTCAAATTTTCTTCCCTGAACTTAAATCCAATTTACCAGGAGAAACGATAATGATTACGATATGAACTGAGAATTCAAAAACTATACTTCTTTGCTACAAACTGAGGATGTCACAGATTCACATTTCTTTGACTTGATTGACACAGATATGAAATTGAAGCAAAAATTGCAATTCCTTATCCGTGTTAATTTCATCTGGAGAACAAGTGATATATTAAGTGACAGTATACATAAGATTCTTGGGGCTTAAAACATATTTTAGGCGTAAAAAATAAACTCTTAAAAGCTGAAAATGTGTTGTATAATTTCGTTAACGAGCAGTGTAAGTTGGCATTAAAAAATTTTTATTTTATTTCAAATTGTTTTATTAAAACACGCCCATTTATAGTGAATGAAATCATAATACATTCACACGGAAAAAATATATTTATTTCAACACTTGTGACTGGGGCATAAATAGATGTTAGAATAGTGGTGCATTATTTTTTCCTGTCTCTACATATGAGAAGCACTTGCGGCCAATGGTAACCCAAACTTTGATTAACACAGGTTTTATCTTCAGTCTACATTTCTAGCCAGTAACATTTTTTGGTTTATTCTTCGCACTATCAATTACATCGAACGATGTTTTTATGCTTTTACAGAACGAATAAAAGTTTTAAGGCTTGAAGAAGAAAGAGACATTTTTAGCAACTATAAACGTTTCCCTCAATACTATAAAATCATGAAATGTGTTCTTACGTAACTTCAAATATTTACGTCAAAAGAGTACAACAGTCATTTCCTAAAAATTCAATGTCAGGGATTGACAGTGAAGGCGAGGTCAGAGGCAAGAGTGGCTGAGGTTAGCTTCACAATACAAAATAAGGGCAATGCAGTATTTTGAGAACACAGTGGTGGGAATTGAGAACAAGGGCAGTATTGCAATAACAACTTCTAAAACGATGAGAGCGTAGGCTTCTGCGACCGGGGTCAGTAGCCGTGTGGCTGTTGTTAGCTACTTGGCGTCCTAGAGGCACAGGTGTCTCCTCGCTACCTGTGCGTAGGACGCGTCGTCACTGGGATGGCCTAAAAAAGCTACTAAAACGGTAAAACTAAAACGGTTCGAAATGAGCTATATGTATAAGCAATGGTGGAAAACTGTACAAGTGGTGTGAATAATGGTTTCTAAAAAGCTGATTATAACTCCAAAGCATGTTGTTTTCGCTAATCTTCGTACATTAACTTCTATAATTTTTTCACTAAGACATGTTGGATATTACATTTACTAAGAGTAAAATTAGAGAATGGACTATAGAAGGCAAAGTTTGTGCAACTAATGTAAATCTGCTTTCTGCGCTTCTTTCAACACTTTGGGACTCAATGAACGTTTTTTATTTTTAAAACCTTCACTCCCACTTTTCATTTAATTAATAAACAGAATTGAATCCGATGCGAAACCTCATATTGTAAAATATTGTAAAAACTACTACAAGGTATGAAATTTAAAATACAAATCATTAATATTTTCCGTCAGGCGAAAGCTTCGTCAGTTAATTTTATTTTAACCAGACTCTGCAGAATGATTAACTTGTTGAAATTACTTATCATTAGATACATTAACATTAAGCGTTTTTAGTGAAATATGTATCTAGATTCTACCATCTAGAAATGGTGTTGCTTGATACCTGAACCTCTGCGAATAATGCAGCGGGTGGGATTAATTACATTTTGTCAGAAGGCGAAGGTAACTAGTGAAACCGACATTGCGACGGCTACACGGACACACAGCGTCGTCTAGAAGACGACAATTACAGCTAACTCTTCGTCTTCTGCGGCAGTTCCTACTCTGAACCTCCATGTCGCTGTCAGCGCAGTTGGCGGTGGCGGCCGCATTGCAATCCCAGCGTTAAGGCCCATTCACAATGCAAACGTAAACATAAGCATAGCACAAAGACGTAAACATTAACGAAAGTGATAGACTGAAGTATTCAATTTGTCGAACATGAACGTAAGTAAAATAAGAGTTTCTATTGCCTCTGAGACATGCTAGTTTACTATTGGCTGGCTGTGAGAATAGGTTTCGAGGTATCGACTGTGTCCATGGCCCACATGGCGTTAGTTCGTCTGTCGACTTCGATTCTCGATTTTGAGTTACCATGCTGCGATTATTTCATTTCTTATGTCTTTCTTAAGCACAAGCACAAGCACAGAAGCTTGAAGCTTGCAAACTTTTACGTTAACGACTTACGTGTTATGCTTATGCGAACGCATTGTGAATGATTCCGCTTATGGACGTAGTCCTAACTGTATTCTTGGCTATCCGGGATGAGCCGCGTCTCGGTCAATTGTACTGACGTTTCGGCCATTTTGCTGTGGCCTTCTTCAGAGCTATACTGCTGCCTATAAGCAAGAATACATTGACTCCGGCCGCGGAAGCCTACGAACCCGTAGTCCTAACTTTTATGTTAACGCCATGCTTATGTTTGTGTGTGGGCCTTTACGCGAGGTCGACGGAGCGCGACTTGCCGAGATAACCTGCGCGAGCCTGCGCGCCGCGTGTGATGATAACAGAGGCGCAGCCCAGCAGAAACGCTAACCGCCGTGCAGCCGCGCTTCCAAAAGACTAATTGGACGGGGAGGGGGGGGTTCTAGGAAAGGAAACATCAGCCGACAAAAGAACACATTCTGGGAGGTACAAAAGCAACCACAGTACTCTCGAGTTACATTGACTGATACAAGCTGAGAGTTGTTGAACGCAAACGACACGTCGTTTGATCTAACAAAATGCCTTTCAACAGGTCATGTCGAGACTTATATTTTTAATTGAAAAATATACCCTTTTTGTGACCTCGAATGGTTTAAATAATGTTTCACTTGGTTAATTCATTGTACGCTTGGAGCTCTGATTCCCGGTTAAGTCTAACAGTTGTCTGGGCGGAGAATCAATAATTAATATCAATCAACGTGCCTCGATGCACTGTAACTGTGTTACTTATTTTCTTAATTTGTCAGTTATCTCTCATAAAATAAGTAACTTCAGAAAGTACTTACTAAATTGTTATGTATCTACGCCGTAATGTATTTCCTAATTAGAGAGTCTACTTAAGTCCTTTAATATCCCCATATTT